CAAATGGAAGTCATTGATTTGTCTTTTGTCGCAATAAAGACATTTACTTTTCGCACACAGGTACAATATTTAAATGTAAGCTACACTAATGTACAAGAACTTGAATATAAATTCGATATGATACACGATATTGCTGTATTGGATTTAAGAAAAACCAACCTTTCTTTTGATTTTAAAACTTTTGAAATGTTTAAAAGGCTAGCGGTTAGCTCGGCGATATATCTGGATAACTTTAAATTTTGTTGTGAAGATATTAGAGGACCGGGTATTCCCGTAGACAATTGTTTGGCACCTGTTGACTATGTGTCTTCGTGTAATCACCTGCTTGGTGACGTTGCTAAACGTTGTTTGCTTTGGTTTGTTGCCCTCATAGAAAGCATAGGTAATGTTCTGGTTGTTGTGAAACTGATATATAAGAAAACTTATATGAAAGAGGGCAATGCATGCTTGCCATTGAATTTATGTCTATCAGATTTGGTAATGGGCGTTTATTTAATTTTGATAGCAGGAGTGGACGTTTACTATCATGACACTTATCTATGGTACGACACACAATGGCGTGACAGTTATCTGTGTCACGCTGCAGGTTTTTTGGTCACGCTCTCTTATCAGACCTCGGCCCTGTTTTTGTGTCTTTTGGTCGTTGATCGATGCGCCATATTCTACAGAAGACATGACAAAAACACAACTCCAAAATGTGTCCTGGCTGCCTGTGTTGTTAGTGTATGGGTGCTCGGGATTGGCATGTCTTTGCTGCCCTTGCTGAACCCAGAATGGCAAATCTTTTCTTTAAACGCCATGTGTTTCGACCTGTCTCCTCACGTAAACCATCACACAGGATGGGTATTTGCTTTCTCCGCGTACATTATACCTCGATGCATCTTCACAACTCTTATCCTAACTGGTTTTATATTCTTCGCCAAATTAATTCTATTCCCGTCTCATTCAAATCTCGATATTTCAGTATCTGAAATAAAATTAACCAAACACGTTTTGCTGGTCGCCGTGTCCAACATTCTCTGCTGGCTGCCTGTTTGTATCGTCGGTCTAATGTCCGGTTTAGGTCACGTGTTTACGCCCGACACGCATGGTTGGTTGATCATGTTTGTCGTCCCCCTCAACTCGGCCACTGACCCCTTGTTTTACATCACGCCAGATATTTACACACGATGGAAGGATTTTAAAAATGGTCTACACAGAACGTACGGAGTGGTCTAGCGGTAGAGAGCTGGACTGCTAACCCGTAAGTCTCGTGTTCGTATCCGGGTTAAAGTCAGTAGACCGTCCCTGAGTCCACCCAACTCTGATAGGTACCTAACTCACGTTAGGGAAAGTAAAGTCGGCTGGGCATAGTGCTGACCACACTATCTCTTCATATGCCGAGGTCACAGAAACAAGTGAACTCTACTTCACTTGCCCCATAGACTGTCAGGTTTGAAAGGGAAACTTTACTTTTACACAGAACGTGAATGTCACATAGGCAGTGTATCATTTTCTTACATTATATTTTATGTTTTTTTTTAAATTTTCCACTGTACGTACTATATGTTGGTAATTTTTGTTAATTTACACAGAACGTAAATAGAATATAGATCTACGCAGTGCATACTTTTCATACTTGATAGCATGTTTCTTAAATTTCTCTTCTATGCCTACATGTTGATAACTTTTATTAATAATTTCTTAAGTTATATATATATATATATATATATATATATATATATATATATATATATATATATATATATATATATATATATATATATATATATATATATATATATATATATATATATATATATATACTAGGCATGCTGCCCAGCTTTGCTTAGGCTTTCGAAAACATTGAGAATTTGAATGCTTAATTAATTCGCCCGAGGGTCGGTCTACGACCTCAGGAGTTATGAAGAGGCTCCTCCGTGGACATTTTTTTTCGATTTATAGCTCATATAAGGCGCCGGTCAGTCGAGGTCAGTTTTAACCCCATCATCGTAGACTTTTCGGCCAACCGGCCCCCGTGTTCTGTCGCCCCAAGGCAAGATCCTGCCAAATTTGAAGCGCCTGCGGCGCCGGGAAGTGCCCTGTCGGGCACCCGACAACTTTGCTTTATATATTATAGAGATTAGCAAATTGCATAGATAAACAAAGATTTCAATAAAGTAATTAAGGCCTGAAATACTTTAGTATAGAAATGTATTATTTGAATAGATGAATCTAGAATATCTAGATCTAGAATCCAAATAAATAAAATAAATTTTATGAGTTTAGGCCGGAAAAATTGTATTGTATACATTTCATAGTGTACGTAGATCTAAATCAAATTTGAATGAAATAGTTCATTTCTTTTTATTCTAAACACGGCAGATGACGTCATTAGTTAATGTATAAGCAATAGTGACGTCACAGAATTATGCGTTCTTTTTCACATCTAATTATGCTTTTCCGGTTGCATAAATAATACTGTTTCTTTACATTCGAATACGCCTTTATTTTTTATTTTTCTTCTTTAAATAAAATTGTGGTTATACATTTAAAACATCTAACATATTATTTTCAACAAAAGTCCGTATAAAGTTCTCCATATATCGCTGCCGATTCTGACGTGATGTCCGGCGAAAATATTTTGCGGACAGACAGAGAGAGAGAAGAGCGCACACAGCCTTTTATATATTAGGATATATATATATATATATATATATATATATATATATATATATATATATATATATATATATATATATATATATATATATATATATATATATATATATATATATATATAAATATATATATATATATATATATATATATATATATATATATATGCATTTTATTTTATTGTCTTTAAATGTTAAATTATTATTTTGGAAAAACATAAGATCTGTAAACTATATCACCATATGTAACTATGTAAATAGATTTTTAACGTAATAACAATTATGATGGTAAAAAAAATATTTAAAAATTTGGCATTTAACAATTTTTATCTTTATTGCTAAACACATTTAACCCTTTTAAATAAAAGTAACTATTTTTTGGTTTTTCCAATGTTTATTTGCTACCTGTCATATTTTCTCTTTACAAAAAAAGTATAGTTACTCACCAGTATTTGCTCACAATATTTATAAAGTTTATATTAGAGTTTCTTACATTTTTAGTTAAATAACTTTTAAAAGTGCACACATTTTTGTAATTGAACTAACATATTTCATAGTTTAGGTATGGAATACAAATAAAATTAATTAAAAGTTCACAAAAGGTTTTTCTTTGTTGTTACAGTATGGTTAAAGCTTTTGTGTGTGAAATAATCATTTATAAATGAAACTGAAATAAATGTTATAAATGTATTTATTATAAAATGATAAAAACACTAAATCTAACTTTTGTAATTACAAAAATATGCTTTCTAATGTTCTTTAAAATCCACTCTATGTATTTTTACAAAGCTTAGTTTATTTTAAAAAAAATTATTAAACAGTTTTTAGTATCGTATTTTTATGGCTGTAAAATAAAGTCTGGGATTTAAAACACAGAAATTTGTTAGAACTTGTACATGTAGTTTTAAACTTTTTTGCATCGTTAAAAATGTAAACAAAATTAATTTTCTGGTGTGTAATGAAAAATTACTTTCTAATCAGACTATACAAAATTTACTGTAACTTATTGATGTTGTGTAGATGTGTAATAACTATTAAGATTTTATTTATGATGGTTGAGTGTCAGTTACTCATATTTTTTCAGCATTTTCAAACAAATACTCATAACATAAAAATAAGTTATAAGCAGAAACTATATTTAACACTAGTACTTGTCCTTAAAAATAAAATTAATAGAAAAGAATGAATGGTAAGAGATTATTATATGATGTTTTAATTTTAAAAAAGATCTAATTGTAGTTATTAATATGAAATTTATTTCCTTGTCTTAAAATTTTTGTTTTTAAAAATGTTTATGAATTTTACTTTCAATTTCTTTTTAGTAATAATTAGTTATAATTTCAGTTTCTTTTTTATCTCATTATTCTCATCCATGCAACTCACACTAACTTAGAATTTGCTTTTTAAATCAACTGTTTTTATATTCACAATTTTAATCATGTTTGAAAATAAAATTGAAACTTAACTCTAATACAATTTTATTAAATTTGAAGCAGCAAAGATATATTTAATTTAGGAAAAAGTTGATGTCTATGTTTTTTTTTCTATATAAATATTTTAATGTAGTGTAGTTATTGCTGTTGTAAAATAAAAAAAATATCACCAATAATGATGTGTTTTTGAGTTATTAGTTTTTGCTGTGACCAAAATATAAAAAACTGCTCAGCATTTTTTTAATACAATGGAGCCTGTGTTATACTATTTGTTTGGACAGTACCATGATATAGAAGTAGAACTATCATTAGAAAAGAAGTTATCAATGGCAAGGCAGCAGTTGTTTGATTTTGGAGTTTTCTCTTCTGGATGGCTTGCTGTCCCTAGCTAACAAATCTCCAACCACAACGTCCCAATAACATTGTCAATGTTTTATTAAATATTTATATATAATTTTTTTTTTGTATGAGGTGGAATTGAAAATATTTAAAGATTGTTCAACAAAATTACATTTGCAATGGACAATTAAACATTCTAGATGTGGTAGTAACTAAGGCATATGAAGAAATACTCTTTTGTCTCAGTAACCTCAGCATATGAAGTAATATCTCCAGTAGCCTTTGCTTCCCCGCAACTTGAGCCAGGTACCCATTAGAGCTGGGTTGACAAAGGGAGGCCTGTGGTCTCTAGCCCAGGATCTGAACTAGACTTTCAGGTCAGCATTCATGTACTCTATCTTTGAACATGCCATCCCAATGACAGTTACTAAATGTAAAACATGTCGCTGTTTTTTAAAGAGTTATGTGATTTCTATCTACTTGTTATTTTTCTTCTTCTATATAGGTCATTGCTATCTGTTTGTATAAGCCATGAATTCAATTTGTATGTACAATAAATTAATACAATTAATATTAATATTTAATATTTTTTTATTCCACATATATATTATATTTAAATAAAACAATTCAACATTCATACTTCATCTAATGATTTCTGCCAGATGGGGTACATATTTTTCACCATTGACCAGTAGTTAGCCTAAAACAAAAAGCAAATACTCTTTTTATAAAAATAATTAAGAATACTTAGTTAATCGTAAACGATGTGTAACATAGTTTCAAAACACCAGCAGGGGAATTAATACAATTAAATTTTTGTTTTTAAAATCTTCTTTTACTTTTAGTTTACATGGAATTAAAATAAACTTGAAAAATAAAAGCACTCTATAGTTTACTAAATGGGACAGCGTGGCGTAATGGTAGACAGCTAGAATACTATCACGAGAGCCTCGAGTTCAAATACAGGTTCAAGTCAATATAAAGTCCCTGAGTCCACCCAGCTCGGATGGGATGGGGTACCTAACTAACGTTCAGGAAAACAAAGTGGGCATAGTTCTGACCATGATATGCCTTCAAATGCTGAGGTCTTTAATGCACATGACTCTACTTCATCTGATCCATGTGCCTTGGGCACGAATAGGAAAGGTTGATGATAGTTTACTAGTGGGGAAAACACGCTAGTTAAAACCTACTTTTAAGTACGTTTAAGTTTTCAATAAACGCTATAAGTTTATGAGGACTTCAATAAAGGATTTATGTAAGGATTAGAGCTACATAGAGACAATTTGTTTCTGCAAAAATGGTAAGTAAAAAAAAAACTACCTGGAGATAAGCAAATTTAGGACTCTGTGCTTCAAACAAACTGTCATTTAAAACTGCCTCCACCTGATTGATATCCTGCATTTAAGATTAATAAGATGGCACTGTTGTTATGTATTTTGCATTTCATCAGTAAATGTAATTCAAAATGTTTATGCATGTCCTATAAGAGGAATGATAAATATAATATTTATAAACATTAACACTTATCGTAGTGTACAATTCTAGAAAATTTTTTTTAAAGAAATTCTATAGCCTAGATTGTTATTTTTTAAAATGCTAATAGTATAGTAGATACCTTTAATAATCTATCATTACGAATAGCTGCATCCACATTATTCAGAGGGAGATCTTGTAGGGGAGTTTTCTGAAGAAAATTTTTGGATGTCCTTAATAAAGCTTCTCTTTTGTTGATTCTGTTGAAGAATTGTTACATTGAAAAAAAAACTGTTTCAACATTTGCAACGTCAATAATTCTTCTGTAGCAGATAGCATTGATTTATTATTCAAAAAAGGGTACTACAATTAAAAACAACTATTAAACATAAGGTTTAAATAAATTAAAGTGTGCTGGTGAACATCATACCAGTTTAACTAGCTTTATATTTTAGTTTGAGAACTGAAATAATGATTTCTTTAGTAAAGTTCCCTTTTTAAACCTGACAGTCTATAGAGCAAGTAAAGTAGAGTTCACTTGTTTCTGTGACCTAGGCATATGAAGAGATAGTGTGGTCAGCACTATGCCCAGCCGCCTTTACTTTTTCTAACATGAGTTAGGTACCCATCAGAGTTGGGTGGACTCAGGAACGGTCTACAGACTTGAACCCGGATTCAAACTTGAGACTTACGGGTTAGCAGTTCAGCTCTCTACCGCTAAACCACTCTGTCACTTATTTCTTTAGTGGGTACATATATTATGATCAAAGATACCCTATATCAACTAACCCTAAATGTTTTTTTTCTATAGTTAACTCTAACTGAGATGAATTTTATTTTGTGGGTGAGTGTTTGGCAGGCTACAGCTATACAGCAGCATGTGGCTGTTCAAATATATACTTTTATTTCCCTTTTTATCAAGTTCATATTAGGAAACTGTACGAAGAGTGGAGTAACATGCACAAGGGAAAGTCATTCAAAGGTTGCTACAGAATCTTAAAATTACATAATGTAAATGATAATTGCTGTGAAGCTTCCTAAAATTTATTTCGGCAAAAATATCAATAAAATGGTATGCCCCAATATATAAAGCAGACTACTGTACTTCTGTCTAGGCCAAACAATAAACTGTTGTATTTTCTATTGGTTACTTCTATAATCCAATACAATTAACCAAAGAAAACTATTCTAAAGCTTAATTTCCAAAGCCATATTTATAAAAGTGTCAAAAGATTTTACACTACCAAAAGCCCAAAATTGTACTAAATTGAAAAAATAAATAAATAAGAAATTGAAGAATAAATTCTATTAAAAACACAGTGAGTAGACTAACATTTCCTCATGTAAGATTGTTAGTTGTAGTTCCCTGTTAGTCCACTTCTCAAGTCTTGCTTGGTTTAAGGACTGCGCTTGTTTGTTTGGTTTATTTAGTATACTCATGCTGCATCAGCAAAAAACAAATGATTCACCTGCAAAATAGAAACAAAAAAAAAGAGTAACAAAATTATATTACTTTTATTCACTAATTAATGCACAACTTCTAAAGTTTTCAATTAATGAATGTAATGCTTTTTCTCTAATTTAAAGAGAGAACCCACTCAAATTTAAATTCTCAAAATTATTTCATCATTGTGAGTTCCAGAGCCCACTCACAATACTGGACAACACAATAATGATGTGGTATCCTAGAACATCTGCAGATGCAAAGTAGCATAAGAAAAATTAACACTTGACACAGCTTCATAAGTTAACATCAGAACATTAACGAAAGTTTTACCAAGGATATACGTTAAGGTTACACGTTATTTTGTAAATTTATATTATTTTAAATTATCCATTAGCATCAGATTAAAGGTTGCATCTATTTCCAGTTCACTCTGAATAGCTTTTTTAGTACACTGGCCAATCAGAGAGATGCATTCATACAATTTGCATTGTTAGGTTTAATATGTCTTTGGATTAATCCATAGCCCTATTGCCTAGCCCAAACACCTTACCCTAATGCCTAACCCTAACCTTAAAACAGTCTTTATTTACTAGATCTAAGTAAAATAGAAAAAAAGGACAGCAAAAACTCAGGGCCAAAGAGAATAGAGCCAGTGTCTCTAATCAAAAAAGTTGATGGCCATACTAAAATAATAAATATACATGCATGCCCCAAATGCAAAAATAGAAAATAGTATGATTAGTCTGGGTAAAAATAGCTAACTATTGGTCTATGAAAAGACTCTTGTAAATTGACACAAACATAAAATGTTTCAAAAGATCCATCTAATATTTATAAAATTATTTACATTTAAAAAATAAATATGGTTATAAAAATCTGACTGGTTTTTATCTGACTTTACTTAAAATGACATATATTTTACTTCTTTAATAAGTACAGTGACAAAAGAAACATTTACAATAAAAAAAGCAAAAACAATTTGGTTTTTCCTTGTCTTCAAGTGGTAATGGAGACATACAACATATTTCTGCTGTTCAACAGGCTAGGATAAAATGATAAATTATAAGGAAATTCCGTACTAAGCAGTGAAGTAATATCTAGGCTTATAATAAATACTTTAATTTAAATCTACATATATAAAAATAAAAGTATGTGAGTTTATTTTTCCTTTATGCATTAAAACACCTAGGCCTTACTAGGCTCACAAGTCCTAGGCCTAATTAATATTAAATAAGGATGTTGGGAAATTAAGAGACGCAAAACAGCGAGGCAGTAAACTGCAAGAAGGGTGCGAAAACCCTCTGTCGAATGATATTTTTGCCTCATATTTTACTATCAACTGATACTTACGCAGGTTGGTGGTAGGATGCAAATATATATGCAAAAATTTTACCGCCACCAATTTACAGTGATATTAAGTTGATGCAGACTTCAGAGACGTTTTGTTTACTTTGTTAAAACTTCCGATTATTACGTCCCTAGACATTCTGACGATTTGTCAACTGCACCATCTTTTGTGTCGACTTAGAATACCACCTTGTTCAAAACTGCTCAAAATACCACAGACAATAGATCAACTTATTTCTTTTGTGTAGAAAATCGAGGCCACCTGCATGCTACAAACATATATTGTATTGTTGCAAAGAAATTTTGTTTTATTACGTAGCAAAAAGAGCCCCCCCCCAGGGTTTGTTGCATAGAGTTAAATATAAACTCAAAACAATAATAATATATATTTAATTGGGCACCCCGTCAAAAGAGCGCACGTCAAAAGAGCGCCGACATAAGAGCGCAGACAAAAGAGCGCCGACATAAGAGCGCACTAATTTCCCGACAAAAGAGCGCAAACCGTAGTTAATGGTTAATAAAAATTAACTCAGATCAGAAGGCAGCGTTTGATGTTAACTCTTTATTGTTTCATTAAAAAACTAATTGTTCAGTTTCTTTAACTAAAAAACCGATAAAATCAACATGAAGTCCACATCTGTAGCCTTCGACCAATATAATAACCTTCCCTTTCTGTGATTCGATCTTCTCCATGTTACTTGGGTTAGAAATATTTTCAAACTGCATTCATAACATATTAAACATAATATATAAATAAACACGTCGTTTTATCGTATCGCAGATTGTTTAATTAAAACAAGTGTTAACCATGCCATATTCGTTTAGCGTACAACATGTGTTTTTTTAATTGGCTGCGCTCTTATGTCGGCGCTCTTTTGTCGTGCGCTCTTTTGATGGGTCACCATTTACTTGATAGGTCAGGCCACATACGACACATGCATAGTGTTCTGTGTTGTGCCTTAATATATTTAAACTAATGAGCTAAATAAACTATCTCTCTTTATATTCTTTAGCAATAATTAAATTAACTAATTAATTAAGTAATGAAATTGGTTGCAGTAAAATTTTCGCAGATAGCTTTGCATCCTACCACGACCCTGCGTAAGTATCAGGTGGTGGTAAATTAATACTATAAATAATATAGATCTAATAGTGATTGACAGGCATGCTATAAATACTAGATTTTAACTAGATCTAGGCCTTATTATTTTTATTATTTATTAGTCCCTAATGGTAATCAATATACTAATCATAATAATAAGGGGTCATCCATTTATGACTTCCCCACGGGGGGGGGGGGGGGGGGGGCCGTAAAAAATTGACTTTTGCTGACTTTTAAAAAGGAATTAAGTGGACTATTGTAAACGGGGAGGGGTGTCCAAAATCCAAACATTTGTGGACATCATAAATGGATGACCCCTAACCTTATCCTTTTTTATTTTAATTTTTAACATTCACTTTGCGTAGTTATTCTAGTTAAGTTTAGTAGGTAATAGGCAATAATAGACTATTATTATTTAATAGTAATACTAATAGGCCAGTAATAGGCCTATGGCCTCTATACTCTATAGAGTACTATAGGGCCTACTATGGTAAAACTCCATTTTAGCGTATTTTATTCCCCGCTTCACTTCACCTCCAGTTGAGCGTATTTTATTATAAACACAACCGAAACACACAAAAAAGTCAGGAAAACACTAGATCTACTTATTTTTTTTAATGAATGTGATTTTTAATAAGAAAGGTAAAAAAAAACATAAAAAGCATTAGAACTGTTCCAATTAAATATCGAATCTCGTGTAATCGTCAGCGGGAGAAAAATCCTTACACGGTCGCGGGTTCACCGTGAGTTCACATTGACATTCAATGAATTATCAGCATACGTCATAGCTCGGGCAATTGCTATTTGAAATTGTGTGGGCCTCAGTTTTGGGGTCATTGTAAGTTCATTAATGTTTATTTATAGTATCATGCCTGGGAGATACTTGTAACAATACAAACTTAACCGCCTTGCAATTGTGATTGCAATACGTTTACGTACTTCACCCATTGCCATGAAAATTCTGACACACGAACATTGCACATTCAATATTCTAAGTTTGGATTTTTCTCAAGTTTTAACAAAACTAAATTATCAAAATCTAAAACAAAGTCAGTCTCTGTTTTTTTATTCATTTTTATTAATTTGTTAAAACAAAAATACAATACAAATAAATGAATCGTGTTTTGGTGTGTTTCGGTGGTTATAATAAAATACGCTCAACTGGAGGTAAACAAGCAGCGGAGAAATAAAATACGCTAAAATACTAAAATGGAGTTTAACCGCCTACTATTTATTAATTTAATTTTAGTCTATTTACTATTTAGTATTTAAGTTAAATTATAAGCCTAACCCTTCTAGAAACAGAACATCGGTTAGTTTTAATTGGAGCCGTCCTAGGCCTATGTCTAATTAATTATGAACCTTAAAAAAAATATTAGACCTAGATTCTAGATCTAGGCTTATTTCATTTCAACTAAGAAATTCAGCAGAACCAACAGGACAAGACAACTAGAAGACGTGTTACTATGAACAGACGAGTAAATTTACCTCCTTTACTAAAAATCTAAAATTAAGAGTTCGCACTATTACTAAAATAATAATTAAAATACGTGGATTGCTGCAAAATAAAATATCGTCTCGTAGACACAGCAATGTTGATAGCAACTACAGTTATAGAATTCAATGAAAAAACATCTTAATATTTGGAATATATATATATATATATATATATATATATATATATATATATATATATATATATATATATATACATATATATATATATATATATTTAATATATATATACACACATTGCCACTGTGAAATGAATGACAATGTAGCGGATTAAGGGGAAGGCTGCAGATTTTTAGAGGCCCCCATATTAACTCTTATAAATCATAGTAAATTTCACTTTACAGCGTAGGCCTATTTTTTGTTTTTCTATAAAAACCAAAGCTTCAATTTAATTGAAAAAAGGTATAGACCTACTGGTCCGGCTATTTGCATCTTTCGAAATCACTACATTAGGTAGGGACTAAAGTGTTTTGAATGTTAGGCCAGTTATTTGAAGTGACAGGTCGGTTAATGACGTTCTTATTATGTATTCATTAAATAAGAATTAAAACCTAACCTAGACGCCAGACGGGAGCTTCGGGGATACGACTAGGTTTATCTGCTTAGTATAGATAAAGAAGTGATAAAACTATTGACAGTGACGGATTAATTGGCTCAACAGGAGGACACCAATTTTCTGTTTACGACGCACGTTAAAAAATTTCCTATCCATTTTTTATTTGGTTGCTTAGTGCTTACAATCTAAATATATGTAGTATGTCCTAATCAGAATCTCATTAAAAAACTAAACGTGTTTTTGATTGATCTCGATTATAAAACATGACAAGTTAGCAAATTACATCAGACTTGGGTCCTTTGGCATATATATTATAACCCTGCACCTTCCATTGAATCAAGACAAGCAGCACTATAACTAACAACTTTACATCAGCAGGCCTAGATAGAAAAGGTATGGAGATATGTTTTTAAATGTTATTAATTGAATCAAATGTGTGTATATTTATGATAAATTACAAGATAATCAAGCACGATTTTAAAGGCAATGTAGTTGCAATAATCAGGTGTGTAACTAGGTTATCATGGTTTTGTAAAGTCATGGAATTTGTATTTGAATATTATACTCCTATATGTTTAGCCATTTAAGCCCAATATTTATTTATCCAATTTTCAATACACCCGACCTAAACATGTTTGTGTATAAGTAAACGATTAGAGTTAGAGGTAGCATCGCTAGACTAATTGAGGTTTTGTCAATCAACGCGATCAATTGAAAGTCTTTGAATATCATGTAAATCTTCATGATTGTTCTACGTAGGGTGGTTTATGATCTTTTTTGATTTTTTTTTAATCTTCTGGCGACCACACCAGGGCTTTTCAGAAAGTCATTTTTCATCTGTTCTGATGACATGTGTTATAATGATCTGTTCCTTTCTTCGTTCTCTGGTGGATGCAAACCAGTATATTTTTCACGTTTGTGCGGATATCCAACCTTCAGATACCCAACAGAGGTCGGCGTGGTCGAGTCGGTTGCTAAACCGAAAAGTCTCGAGTTCGAACCCTCGGGCAGATGAGGCTCGTTAGCTGGGGCCAGCCACTTTTCTTGGAGAGACAACTCCAAAATCAAACAACTGCTGTCTTGTAGTTTGTTCTTGGTTGGACAAAGGCTATGGAAGCAAATCCAAAAAGAAAAGCAGGCTGAAATCGGAGTCAATGGCCTCAATGGCGCATAACCAGTTGACACGTAATCCTTAATTGTAATGGAAGCATGTTTAAGTCGGCAAAGCTCATGGTTGATAAATTCGAAAAAACTCTCGAGATAAGGCAACACTAAAAATTAAGAACGAAGAAGAAGAAGAAGATACCCAACATCCAACCAGATGACACAAGAGCTAAGCATGTATTAACTCTGCAGCCAAAATAGAGCTATAGCCCAATAAAAATAACTGTCAACTTGACTTGAATCTGCATGAAGAAACATAAATAATATTTTATACTAAAATAATTTTTTGTACACCTTTTCAATGAAAGGAAACACAACTCAGTTTTATTCTCCTACACATAATGGTTGTGTTTTTTTTTTTCTGAACAAATTACCGTTCGTAGCTTCGTTCAATCAATTTGTCACCTGATTAGGTCAAGGTTATAGGTCAACACAGCTGTGTGTTCTGGTACATGCTAGGTATGTGATCTAATTTTAGCTTCAGTTAGGCTACACTCAGCCAACAGTAGATACGAAGGTATGATTTAAAGAGGTAAGCTCAGAATCTACTGTTTTATTCAAATCTATGGGTGGGTGGGTGGGTGGGGGGAGGTGGGAAGTGGGATTGCTCCCTTCTTCTTCTTCTTCTTCGTCCTTAATTATAAGTATTGAAGGGGATCGAGATTTATCTGCCAGTGAGACTTTGTTCGAATTTATCAACCATGAGCTTTTTGCCGACTCGACCACGCCTCCAACACAATTAAGCGTTACGTGTTATTGAGGCCATTGACTCCGATTTCAGCCTGCTTTTCTTTTTGGATTTGCTTCCATAGCCTTTGTCCAACCAAGAACAAACTACAAGGCAGCAGTTGTTTAATTTTGGAGTTGTCTCTCCTAGCTAACGAGCCTCATCTGCCCGAGGGTTCGAACTCGAGACTTTTCGGTTTAGCAACCATGAGCTTTACCGACTCGACCACGCCGAACCCCGGGATTGCTCCCATTCGAAGAGATATCTGAAAGAAACACTAGCGCGACTCCTCTTTTATGCTCGTCTATATAAATAGACACATATTTTGAAATTAAGCATGTTTTTATTTGAAGTCTATATTTTCAAGTCTATAATCAACTCTGGAAAAATTAACTTGTGTGTGTGTGTGTAATTAAACACTCTTATCAAAAGTTATCATATTCTTATATTGAGCAGATTAAAAAAGTTCATTTTTAAAAAAAGCACCGGGCAACTATTGTAAATTCAATAAATTTGAAACGACCAACACTTAATTACAGCTAGAAAATCATGGACACCGCTTGGAGAATGTCACTTCTGGTCATCGTTTGTTTGGCCACTGTTTGCTGTGTCCTCTCTAAGACAATATGCGAGGAGGTAGACGTGTGCAGCCGTGTTAAATGTTTCCCCGTCCCGGAGTCTGACTGCCAGGGAATGTTCGTCAAAAGGGGTGGTTTGTGTGGCTGCTGTGATGCTTGCTTCAATGTTCTGAGTAAGTTCAATAATTAAACAGTGATCTCATTCATGGTGTCTAAATGACTTTTTTTTTACTATAAGCATAGTATATATATATATATATATATATATATATATATATATATATATATATATATATATATATATATATATATATATATAGTAAAATAACTAAACAAGTTACAATATATATATATATATATATATATATATATATATATATATATAATATATATAATATATATATATATATATATATATATATATATATATATATATATATATATATATATATATATATATATATATATATATATATATATATATATATATATATATATATATATATATATATATATATATATATATATATATATATATATATATATATATATATATATATATATATATATATATATATATATATATATACTACACTTATAGTAAAATAACTAAACAAGTTACACTAATATTTCCCGAATATGTATGTATATATGTATGTATGTATGTATATATATATATATATATATATATATATATATATATATATATATATATATATATATATATATATATATATATATATATATATACATATATATATATATATATATATACATATATACATATATATATATATATATATATATATATATATATATATATATATATATATATATATATATATATATATATATATATATATAAGCAGTATATTAGGTCCCTTTTGGCGCGTATGGCGCTGGCGGATGTGGAAGGGTGAAGGGTGAGGCGCAGGTACAATGAGATATAGTAAAATACTCCACCAACTGGCGCAGGGTGAAGGGGGAGTATGTCAGTAGGGCGGTGACCTAGTTACGTAATCACCATCGGTGACCTAGTTACGTAATGTGTTTTTAATTAGTTTTAATTAATTTTTAATGAGCTTGTTTTTAATGAGTTTGTTTTTAAAATGTTTTTTAATTCGTTTTTAATTAGTTTGCATTTTTTATTTGTTTTGTTTTTTAATTTTGTAATTTTTATTAACTAGTTACGTAATTTGATTATTTTTTTGTTTTTAATTAATTTATTTTTAATTTTTAATTTTAATTTAATTACTTTGTTTATATTTTGTTTGTTTATTTTTAAATTAGTTTAATTTTTTAAATTTTAATTTAAATTTGATTTTTTAATTAGTTTGATTTTTTAAATTTTAATTAGTTTAATTTTTAATAGGTTGAAATTTTTATTTCGTTTTTAATTTTGTAATTTTTATTAACTAGTTACGTAATTTGATTATTTGTTTGATTTTAATTTTTAATTTTTGATTAGTTTAATTTTTAAATTTTTAAAATTTTAATTTTAATTTTTTAATTTTACATTTTTATTTATTTTGTTTTTAATTAGTTTAATTATTATTTTTTAATTTAAATTTGATGTTTTAATTAGTTTGATTTTAATTAATTGGATTTTAATTTTTTTTTAAATTTTTAAATTTAAATTTATTTTATATTTGTTTATTTGTTGTTTATTTGATTGTTTGGTTTAATTAATTTTGTTTGTTTGTATGTTTTTTAATTTTTAGTTTTTAAATACTCTACCACAACGAATGTGTACAAAAATAGGTTTTTCTTTGTGTAGGTCCCAACAACCATTAACGACATCTGTTTCAAATTATCCCACACATCAAAGAAATTGACCACCAGCGCGCGCTGCCCGTTTTTTACAGGTGCCGCCCGGAGATTAATGGCTTTTCTCGTTCGGTTTGATAGCTGACCTTGTTTATA